ATATATACTTATATATATATATATATATACATATATTTTATATTGATTTTATAAATAAAATAAAAAAAATTCTTGATTTTGAAGTGCTTTTTGTCTTGAACCCGTTTTCACGCTGTCCATAGTGCAGTATTCTACTATTCTTTTTCTCACTTGCATTATCGTTTCCTGATTTTGTTCCAATCGGGATATTCGCAAGAACATAAAAAAGTAAAAAAAAATCATATTTATTATATTTTTTTTAGAGATACAGAGTTTTTTAGTCAATTCAAATTTGTCTTCGCAGGATCTACACACTATTGATTTGGATGACTTTCAATACAGTAAGACCAATATTACTGGCCTGAGGTTAGTCCAAGAAGAATCCAAAGAATTCCAATTGCTTCTGGAAGAGGTGAATGAAAGATTGGTCAGACGGAGGGAACAACCACCCCTGAGGACGCTCAAGGTCACATATCATGTTCTGTAAGATATTACACTTCATGCATTCATACTACGTGTTTGAATGAGATGCATATGACTTACTCTAATCTTCTATTCATCATCTTTTACTAAATGTAACATATAAACGAAATTGCATATTGTACTATCGTGCTAAACGTTTTATTTAATACTGAAGTATTATCATACCATTTACAGTGTAACTTTTTTGTTAACATATTTTAATACACATAAAACGGTAGTATTTGTTGAAGAAATTTGCAAGTGAAATTTTTGTGAATTTGCGAAAATTAGCTAAGGAATTTACTCGTTGTTCTTTTTTGTTTCTTCTTTCCTGAATCTTTGTTTTTTTTTTTATATTTGAAGGCACGTAAAATTTCACGGTAGATTGATTTGAGCCTTGTTTATTTTACTAAATAGTTAATTTTTTAGTGATTTTTTACAGGAAGCGTCTGTTTTCTATTACAAAACCTTAATATATTTTTCAAATGGAAAAAGGTGTTGAGCGCGTTATTAATATTTAGAGTTGGCAAAATAAAAATCTAACTGCCTGAATAATTTTCAATATAATGATTGGGTCTTCGTGAATTGCCTTGAAGTTAACAGGCACAAGGTGCTTAATGAGTCAAATTGATTAGCTCAATTGATTAGTGTTTGTCGTTAATGTGATATCACTCACGAAATCTGACTTTCGTTTCGTTTTCGTTTCGTTCGTTGCACCCCTATGCAAATTATGATTTTTCTGCAGTGAATAAACGAAATTCGTTTTAAAAATGTTATTTTTTTGAATAAAAAAAAAGCTAAAGCGAGAAAAAGAAAAAAATTAGAATGTTTCAGATAATGTAGATTAAAACTTTTAATTTGCGAAATCTACAAAATCTGTAGAACCTAATAACACACATTAAAACTGCTTGCGTCTTAGAGATCTAACCTTTTGCCTTTGAATATGCTGCTAAAATAAAGACTTTCTGTGACTACCTAGTTATTTTTAATAAAAGCATTCACAACACATTGTTTGTCTGGGAGTATTTTTTTCCTAGATATGCTCATTACTTAGTAATCAGGAGGGGAAGATTTCTTAAATTGACGGCTTTCATCAAACGAATCTTAGTTATCTTAAAGAAGAGAATGAGAAAAAATTTTCCCAAAACTTTCCCCTTAAAAATAAATTCTTTATTTCCAGTACAAAAAAAATAAAATATGAAATCAATAGGTATTTTTGTTTATCACTTTATAAACAATTATCCAAACTATTCAGACATTTATCGTAATACTGGATCAAGTGTTTAACCCATCTTGGTCGGTCCTTGCTAGTGAAGTCAGTTCTCGGCAGCTGTATTCAAAGTTCTGTCTGAAGACAACATTGATCAACCTAAACTTTTGCTTAATTTTGCTTCACTCAACTGTTTTGCTTCATTTAACTTTGTCAAAATGGCCTTAGAATGTTTGTTTGAGTTAATAATCGACGTCAACGGCATGATGACGTTCCAGATACTTAATCAATATAACATCGCATTTAACCCGGAATATGTTTATCATATCTTTAATGACAGAAGTCGTAAATTTAACGTAACTCTTTCTTGTTGTTAATCCTTAGGAATATTGGAGCTTCAAAAATGAAGCGCTTCAAGGTGTCATAGCTCAGTTGTAGCACAGATGCTTACACTCTATAGTGAGTTTCTTGGTTGTAGGAACAATTTGACGAATCCAATTTTGTCCTCAATAACGATGTGGTCACTTTATAAATAATTATAAGAACTCGTCAGACATTTATCGGAATACAAGATAGACTATTGAACCCTTCATGGTCAGTCCTTGACATTGGAGACAGATCTTGGCAGCTGTTTTCAAAGTACTGTCTGAAGTCAACATTGATCAACATAAGCTTTTGTTCAATTTTGCCTCACTCAGCATCCCATAGTGTTTTGCTTCATGTAACTTTGTCAAAGTGGCACCATAATGATCGACGGCAACAGTATGATGTCATTCCAGATACTTAATCAGTATAACACCGCATTTAACCCGGAATATGTTCATCGTATCTTTAACGGCAGAGCGTGTAACCTTAAACTTCCTTCTCGTTGGTGATCCTCTGGAAAATCGGAGATCCAGAAATAAAGAAATTGCAAGGTGCTTTATTTCTGGTATTTATCTCAGATGATACAATTACACTCTATAGTGAGTCTCTTGGATGTGGGAACGAATTGACGGAGCCAAGTTTCGTGCTCAGTATCGATGTGGTCAATTAATAGTTGTCTCTTAGAATGGTATCGTTGAAGAAACTTGAGATTGCGGATATCTACTTTTCGGATATTGTTAGCCAGCTTGTTCGGATATTGTTCGGATACCAGCAGGAGCACAATTTGAAACTTTACATCTCATCAGAAAAATGCATTGCACTGTGACATAGTTTCAAAACTAGCTTTGACGCGATGTTACGAAAAGTTACATGCGGATGATCTTGAATAATTTCTTCAACTTGTACCATGTTAATGCCTGTTATTGATCCATCCATCTAGAAAGAGCGATACTATTCTGTTACGTGTTGTCCACACGCCTTTCTTTAACTACATACATTTTATGCCCTAATAGAAAGCCTTTAAATCGCAAAAATTTCGTCTCTTAATGTTTAAAATCCGATTAAGAGAGTCTTAATTATTGACACTTTTGATTGCTTTAAATATCTTTTGCTTTTATTTCTTGATACTGTCTCAATTTATTCTAATTGTTATGCTTTTCATTAGACAGAATCAGTATTGATGTATGACAGTGTGAAAAGACTTGCTTATGCCCTTGAACAAATGGATAGTGCCAAAAACATTGCAGTTTTTCCACCCATTTCTTGTAACCTTATGAATAAAGGCATAGACGGAACAAGTTTATTCAATTTCATGAAAAATGTAAGCATCTTTTATTTATGAGTAAATTTTGATTCAAAGTATTAAGTAAGATTAATTATCAATAAAAAATTATAAACATTAGTTATATAGAAATAGTTCTTGCATCACTATTTTCATAATTGATCACAACGTGATTTTCATATGGCTTAAAAGAAAAAGAAATATCTATAACTTAAAACTTTATTTAACATTGGGAGTTCAGCAGCCGATCCATATTTTTTGCTGTTGCCAATGTTTAACACTTAACTCTTATACTTTTGAACTTAAGTCTGAAGATAAGGGAACTTCTGAATAAAGCTTAAGGTGATGCCCTCTTTCTTGATCAAGCTTTGGGACATTCTCATGGCCATTTTATGATGCAATTTTTTCTTCAAATAAAGTTTCATGAATCTATAGTTTTTGAATAAATTCAATATCTTTATGATGTTTATGTATGATGTGTGATTTTATTGAGAATGAACAGTTTTTGAATAAGAGTTTGAAATGACTTAACGTATTGATGAACATAAATTAAGAAATTAATAGATTTTGAATGAATTTTAAAAAAATGAACAAGCATAAATTGACATGTGTTTCAGATAGGAGCTGTTATTACTATGAACACGAATTTTAGATATAAATAGTTCGAGAATGATCGTCAGAAAAAACTATTTTAATTAAATTTATCTTTATTAAGAAATTTTAGGAAATGAACTAAAATAACTACGAGGATCTGTTTCGGAAATGAATAGTACTCGTATAAATAAGAGTTTCAGAAAAACAAAATAACAACCATGTGAGCTGTATTTTCAAAACTAATTGAATAAGTTAATAATAATAATAATAATAATGAAAGAAATAACAACATGAATATCATTTTTCAGAAATGAGCAGCTTTTCAGTTAATTTCAAAATTGAATAGTTTAGAATCTATTTCAAACTAAGGAGCTAAGCTTTCTATTGGCTGCTGCTCACCAATCCCGATGATTGCGTCACAATAATTGTTTTCTTTTTGGTATTAGGCAGTTTTTTCTACCAAAGTTGAAATTAACTTCATGAAATATATGTACTAAAAAAATTCTGCTTTGTTGCGCTTATGCCATCATCATTCCTCACATCAAAACATTTCCTTTATGCTTCTATTGAGATCCATTAGTGGACATATATAATTTTACTTAGTTATAATTTTTTAAAATATTTTAAATTAAAAGCACATTTTTACAAATTTTGTTAGTTTAGATTCGTAATTCAGAATTTTCACTTCACAAACATGTTGATGTATCAAATTTGTGCATGCACCACATTATGCATGAAGCTGATCGCAAAGATCTTAAATCATTTAACGATTCTTTTTAATATATAGTACATTAATGTAATATGCACTAAAAATAATATTTGAAAGACTTTCAATAAGTTTACACATCTGTGGAACTAGTATAAAGACAAGGTCAACCGTCATTTCTCAAATGAGAACACAGATGGCTAGATATAACAAGTTTTATAGGGAATTGAAATTGAATTATTGTCGTGGTAGTTACACTCTACACAAACTTAACTAAGTTTATAGCAAATTATAGCGTAATAAGGTAATTTCACAGAATTAAGTTGTAATATAGAAACAATTATGAGGTTTTTAACTCCAAGTTTTGAAAACAATCAAAATCAAAAATGGAATAACAGTAGGGAAAAGGAAAATGAAAAAATAAATATAACAGGTATAGAGATATATAATAATATTGGTATATATTAATAAAATGGTATACATATTAAATAAATATTACAGGTAGTTCTAAGTAAGGGATATAAAATATTTTATATCAAATCAATACCTTAATGACTTTTATTAGTTTTATGCGGTGACAGTCAAAAAGTATGGAAATTAATGTGGGATAACAAAAAGGCACCAATAACAAAAAGCTGTATTAAATCATTATGCTTTTATGTTGTATATTTTTCCATGTATCTAATATCCGTCGTTGAATATCTGACCCAATTTTGGGTTTACTATTATTGTTAATGTACAACTTCGTAGCTTTGAAGTTTTGAACCCAATCCAGAAGACAAGGGATCAAGTAGTGGGAGAAATTTGCCTTCGTGGAGGACTTTGATGGAACTAACACTCATTTGCGTTGCATGGCGAGGAAAACCACGAAAACATGCACGGGTAGACTGACGGCAAGTGGACTCTAACCCATGATCCGTCTAACACTGAGGATAGTTTACGCCAGCACTGTCATCGGTGTAAGTTGGGTGCAGAATTCGAATCGCAGCTATAGCTGGGATTCTATCATGGTTTACTTCGTTAGGAGGCTAGTGCCATATCTCCTGAACCACTGTGACTCTTTACGTTATATAACGAAATCATACATTTTTAATTTCGGATCACTTTCTAAATTTTACAGGATATTATATTCTATTTTTTTCAGAATAGGAGAAAAAAAATTATGCTTTGCCAAATTTATTTAACTTCAATTTTGTAAAAGAAATCGTGTTTTACAAGGCTTTTGCTCGTTTTTAAAGTTTTTACACTGGAAATTAAAATGAATTGCTATTAAATTTAAACAAAAATTTCACAAACATTTATTATTGCTTTGTCTTTATAGGGAAAGACAACTGGACTCTCCGGACTGATTGAATTTGATCCGGAAGGTTTCAGATCAGCGGTGAGTTTGGACGTGATGTACGTTACGCAACAAGGTCTGAAAAAGGTAAAATATTTTTCTTAAATCTTTAATTTAATTTGTTTAAAAATTAACTTTAAAACTTATGAAATAAATATTTAGGTATTGGAATTTTATTTATTTACTGAAAAAAAAAACGAAAGAAAAATTAAATTTACGCATAACAGTTACATTACTTACTGTAAATACAAGACGAAAAATTAAAAAAGCTCTTGGTTGGAAAATACAAATGGAAAGAAATTATTAAAACACTTTTGAATGCGAAATTTATGTATTTTAACTTTTAAAGAGCGGAATGAATTAAGATATATTAGAAAATATTACTCTAATCATTAATCCAAGATCATTATGTGGTTGAACGAAGAGTGTTTCGTTAATCATTTCAGTTAGAATTTCTAATATAAGAAACGTTTATACCCAAATATTGTAGAAAAAAAAGTGCCTAATAAGTGATACTAGTTAAATGAGTAACTTGGTGAATAAACATATTTAATAAATACAATTCACATTCATTTACAATTTATACATAAGGCGCTTTAGTTAAACTTGGCATCAAATATTTGCTACAGGTATAGCAGAAAACTGAAATAAAAAGAGCAACAAGGAGTACAATACCAAACATAAGACTAAAACTTGAAGTAAATACAAACTTAAAATTCATAAATAAGATTAAAATAATTTAAAAATTCAGAATACGCGCTTGACGTCACGTCGTTTTATGACTCTTATTGTAGTAATAGAAGATGGTGGACTCAAACTAAGACCATCTAAAACACTTGCGAAGGTTGTTGGAAAATGACAGTCAGAAAATAGGAGCTTGTGCTTTATTGCGAGCATTGATGGTGTTTCCAAATATATATAGGATATTGTTAGCCAGCTTGTTCGGNACAACCTTTGGATTTTAATACATTTGGTATTTTACATTGCGATTGTATTTTATACATGGTTTTTAGATTGTTATACACCCCTTTTAACTCTTACCTTTTAGTATCTATTGGTATTTTGTCCTCTGTTTTTTTGTACTTTAATTGAATTTACTCTGCTTTACTTGTTGTTCTTCATTTTAACTACCTGTTACTACTTCACCCTCACTATTTTGGTTCCACCAGCAGGATTCAAGCTGGCTTGATTGGCTGGATCCTTTCAATGCCCTATTGGCAAGTGTATACATCTGTGATTTTGTCTTAGTTTTAACTTTTCAATTTTAGCACTATATTCATTTATGTCATTTTATCCTTTCACCTTTTGGCGGTTTTATGAGCTGTATTTACGGCGGTTTTTGGTGAATTGTTAGATTTTTTGTCTTGTATTAAGGGTTCCACCAGCTCTGGCTCACAGCTCACTCAGTTTTTACTGGTTGTCTCAGGGTTCACAATTTTTGTATTATATATATATATAATTTTTGTATTCTATTTATATGAGGGTTAATAAGTTTTGTATTGTATATATACATATAATTTTTGTATTTTATTTATATAAGGGTCTGTTGACCTTTTAAATGATTCATTGTATTTGGCGTATGGGCCTATTGGCCTAGGCCGCTGTATATATATTAAATATATATATATATATATATATATATATCTTGGTACTATTCCATATTAGGATATTTTCCCAAGATTTTTCAAATTTTCAGAATTAATAGACAATTTCAGCTTTACTAGATTTTGCAGAATTGTTATGACACCTTATCTAGATTTTGCAGGTTGAAGGAATCATTAGGTCATCTTTACTAGATTTTGCAGATTTTTGGAATTATTAAGACACTTTTTCATACAAAGAAACCTTTCCTAGATTTTGCAAACTTGCAGATAGACACCTTTCTGTATTAGGACACCTTTTCTATATTTTTACAGAATTTTTTTAACAGTGCAGAATACTGTCATAATTAGTTCTTTATTTATTTTTGTAGATTGGTTATATTTTGCCAGACAAAGGAATAAATGTGACGTCGCCTGAATCTTCTGATTTTGAGTATACTGATTTGGAAAACTCGCATTTCAAAGTTGCAACAGTCATTGTGAGTATGAGAAACGAATATTGCATTACAAATTATGTAAATTTCAAAGTAGCTATAAAAAAAATATAATTTCTCAAACTGTAAAACCTATTATGAGCTATATCCTTATTTTCTTTACACTGGAAGCGAAAATGCATTCTGAAAAAGCTGATTACTTAAATTTTTTCAAGGATTTATAATAGTTTTTTTTTCAATTCCTGTAAAAAAAATTTAATAAATGTAAGAAATAAATTTTGGAATAATTTTTTTAAAAATTTCCTGTTATTTGCATTAATTTAGATCTAAGAGAAACAGCTATTTATCAGTAAAATTTCCTTAATTTTCAAATTCAATTATTTAAAAATTTTTGAATATGAGTGGAAAGAAAATTTCTAACTACTTTTTTTAGATTTTATATTTCAGTACAAATATAATTCCAATAATCCAACAGATTTTTTCAGCAACTATTAGACAATTTTTATAATTAAAAAGCGCCGGCCAGATGGACGAGCGGTCAGTGTGCCTGACTGTGAAGCCAATGGTTGCGGGTTCGAATCCCGCTCAGGGCATGGATGTTTCTCTCTGTGTGTGTTCTCGATTGTGTGATGTGTGAATGTGGCCCACCCTATAAACGGGTATGTGGCAGCGTGGCGTGGGTAATGTTGCTCGCCTCCATGACTTAGGTTCACAGGTGCCCACTGGGTAACGTTAAATGAGTAACACCTCCGGCATCTTCCTAGGCGAAGAACGAAAGTTCAGTGCCTGCCGTAAAATATATATTTGCTTGTAATGAAAGTGTCAAGAAAATATATAAATTGGTCACCGGTGTCCATCTGCGTCAAAGGGCTAAAAGTGATTTTTGGAACTTTCTCCAAGCACAGTAATACATTGCTGTACAGTAATACGTTGTCGTACAGTAATACGTTGCTGTACAGTAATACATTGCTGTACAGTAATGCATTGCTGAAGGTGGAGGTTACTTCAAAGCATATTAAATGAGTATGTAATTCCCATAATGTTTTCAAGATTTAAAAGATCAGTGTTGGTATTTAATAGTCACACCCCGTGATAATCCAATACCATGGATAGAATATTAATTGATAGTTGCAATTTATACTCACATAGGTCGATCCCTACACAATGTATGCAGAGTCATCTGAGAAGAAGGTTGGAAATGATCGATATGAAGGCTTTGCTATGGATTTGCTTGAAGCTCTCTCTGCGAAATTGCGCTTCACCTACGAAGTGCACGTGGTGCAAGAGAAAAACAAGTCCAATTACGGTTCCCAAGACGCAGTCACAAAAGAATGGAGTGGAATGATTGGAAGGGTAATGAGAGGTGTAAGTATCTAATGCATCTAAGGCATTTCATGAAATAAATAATTACAATCATGTCACAAAATGGATATATACTGAAGAGCCAAAAAAACTGTTATACCTGCCTAATATCGTGTAGGGTTCCCGCGAGCACGCAGAAGTGCCGCAACATGACGTGGCATGGATTCGATCAATGTGTGAAGTTATAATTGACACCATGAAGAATATAATTGACACCATGAATCCTGCAGGGCTGGGTGTAAGAGGGGGTGGGGATATCTTCTGAACACCACGTTGCAAGGCATCCCAAATATGTTCAATAATGTTCATGTCTGGGGATTTTGGTGGATTTCCGATACTCACGGTATACTCGTGAAATGGTCGTACGTGAAAATCCAAATTTCATTGCTATCTCGGAGATGCTATGTCCCATCTCCCGTGCGCCGACTATAACACCACGTTCAAACTCACTTAAATCTGTATAACCTGGCATTGTAGCAGCAGTAACCGATCTAAGAACTGTGCTGGACACTCGTTCTCTAATATACGCGTTGCCGATCGCAGCGCTGTACTTTGATTGGCTCCATACCCCTTTATTTGCATACTCATGCCTGTACCAGTCTTTTTGGCTCTTCAGTGCATTTTTTTTATCTAGCAAAATTCCAGCTACAACTTTGTGCAAACCGTATTAAAAAATTCTGCTTAAAAAATTCTGCTTAAAAAATGCTTTTGAGAACTTCATTTATCAAGAGAGAAATAATGTTAGATACAAAATGTTATGTAAAACACGATACTCTGATGTCTATATTTAGTAAATTTATAATTTTTATTCAGGAACAATGCCATCAACATCAGGATTGAAATCTTTTTACAAACAATTAATGTGGTTCATGTTATTAATATAGAACAAGAATAATTCAATCCTTTAAAAAAATCACCGTGGTAAAAATCGAGTAATGACACTGGCCTGGTTACTATCTTGATTAATCTGATTATCAATAATTACACATTGTGGTTACAAGCAAGTATGCCTCTCTTGTTAAAGAAAACGAAATAAAATATAAACTTATGTTAGTTGTATAAAGAAACTGCTTTAGTTTCAATTCTAATAAAAAAAGGAGTAAAAAGTTTAAGTTAACACATCAGTAATTTCAAATTAGTATATAGGTATGGAAAAAAAGCCTTATCGAAACCTTTGGACTCATTAACATAAATGGTGATGTTAGAAACAACAAAACCTGTTTCATCATGAGGGATATCAAAAGCAGTTGGAAGCTGATTTTTAGAACACCTGCAAGGTAAAACCCAGAATCTTGTTGATTAAATATTTTTTTTTTATTATCCTACCTTACTCACCAGTGAGTTTTCAAGTCTCCCTATTCGGCAAGAAGTTCGTAAATAAGGGAGTGAATTGCGGATAATTCTGTTTACGTGAACATCTTTACGCAGTTGAAATACAAATTGATGAAATAAAAAACGCTAGAAATTAGATGCAGGAATTTATGCAATTGAAATACAAAAATTAAGAAATTAGATTTAAGATTTATAGCTTTTATTAGATTTAAGATTTATAGATTTAAGATATAAGATATAAGATTTTAAAAAAAATTATTTTGGAGAAATTCTGTTTAAATGTTAGTTTCATCAATCAAATAATAGAGAAATAGTTTCCTTGTTTTTAATGAATTATTAACGAACTTAAGATGGTGTTCAAATTACGGTGATTACAAGTTTTCGAGAAAGTTTAAATCAAAATTTTTTTTGATATGAAAAGGAGAGCGCAATTGCTTAAAAAAAAAACTTATATTTTTCACAAACTTGAAACTGCTCAATACGCTCAGAGGTAGGCAATAATTTGAATCAGATAATTTGTATAACTCACTGACAGTATTTTTCTTTATTTCAGGAGGCTGACCTAGCAATCGCTGATTTTACAATTACAACAAGCAGGCTAGCAGTAGTGGATTTTACTCACCCATTTATGCAGACAGGAATTGGAATACTTTTCAAGAAACCCACGGAAAAGGTCACATCCTTGTTTTCCTTTCTTTCACCGTTTTCAGGAGGTGTATGGGTCCTTGTGATGGCAGCTTACACATTCATCAGTATCAGCTATTTTTTGGTGGGAAGACTGAGTCCGTATGAATGGGCTAATCCACACCCATGTCGACAAAATGATCAAGTGGAAGAGAATGTGTTCAGTCTTTTAAATAGCATGTGGTTTGCTATTGGATCACTTATGCAGCAAGGATCAGATATTGCTCCTACGTAAGATTTTCATAACTGATATGATGCTATACAGTTTGTCTATGGAAAGAACTCCCCACGCCATGAAATCTGAGGCCGTCTGCTGCTGTGGAAACAAGAAATAGCGCATTTCAAAGAAGGGTGCTTATTTCTTCGCTGTTTCCCTTTCGCTGACGCGAACCTAAACCTGTCTTTAACGAGGATCTAACACTCCTACTTGGAATAGTTAAAACTTGTTACCATAGTCACTGTTCCAGACGAATGACTGGGGGAGTTCTTTATATAGACAAACTGTACTCTATTCAACGTGAACTGATAGCGGAAGTAAACAAGAAGGCTAAACAGTGTATCGCCAACTTTATGTACTTCGCCGGTTTTTAGCTGAGATTCTTCTCATACTGATCTCGATTCAGATTAGCTTGGTAGATTAAGCCCTATTCAGACCAGCCAAAAGTTATGCGAAATGTCAGTTGGCATTGTTCACTTTCGTTTTCAGTTCTCACTGAAAAGTCCATTAAATAACGTTCGTTATACTAAACCATTGTTAGAAATTTTAGATCATGTCCTAAAAATAATTCAAAATTTTGTGTCGAACACAAATTAAGAAAAAATTGTGCATGTTTTATCATTCAAAAAGACGCACATTTTTGTTCAAATCTACCTGTTTATTTTCGCTGATATAATGGCATATAATATTCGCTGTTATAATTAACATTGGTTGAAAAATTTAAAAAATATAAGTTCGAAAAATTTACAAAATTTGCAACTGAAACAGTGTGTTAAACTGTGAAAAATTCAAATTATAACTACAAAATTCGATTCCCACACCCAAACTTGATTCCACCCTATGGAGTTCCCCCAAAGTAATGGATGGAGAATACGTTAATTTCGATGTACTTAGTAATGTATTTTAAAATATTAGGAACTTCTATTTTTCCCTTTTCGATCTGACATATGTGTATCTCAAGATCTTCATTTTAAACAATTTTTCAAAATAGTTTCGTTTTGCGATTATAACGCCTAATAAAGTGTTTTGGCGAGGCAAATTGTTTTTTTTTCAAAAAAAAATCCTTGATATAAAAAAAATGGTGGCTCCTTTCAAGATTTTAAAGATGCCCTAATTCCACAACATGGGGTAACTTTATGGCGTCAAGTTTGGTACCGCTGAATCATCTTTCGAAAATATTTCCTAAGTTTGTTTATGGGTATTTATGCCTCACAAATTATTTGACCACTTAAATACTTTTTGGACCATCAAAAGCTTAACCCGGATTATGGCCATTTATCCGTATCTGGCATTCGGAATTTTCGATGTATACATTCAATATAAGATGGATAGTTCCCCTGAAAAAAGTGAGAAGAAAAAAAATAGGTATTTCATATTATTTAGAGTTTTTTTTTTAAATGCCGTATGTATTAATGCTTTCATTTAAATTACAATTTCAGAGCCATGTCAACTCGCGCAGTTACAAGTATTTGGTATTTTTTCTGTCTCATCATGATATCATCTTATACTGCTAATCTTGCGTCATTTTTAACGGTTCAAAAATTAGTATCTCCAATCAATAACGCCAATGAGTTGGCAAACCAGGAGAAGATTAAGTACGGCTGTCTTGAAGATGGTTCAACGCACAGATTTTTTAAGGTACAAATTTTCAATACATCATTATTAGACTTATTCAATTAAAATTATGCTCTTTGTGTAATTAAAATACTTTTGAAGCAGTGGAATTTTTTTATTATGTTCTTAACTAATCCTTTTTGGAGTACCTTTATATCCCTTTTGCTTAAACTGGTTGAGTTCAATCAAGCGTATCATTACAATCAAATGAATTATAAATTTAAAACTGCATTATATGTTACGTGTAAAAATACTGTTTTCCTATTTCGGCGATGCATCACCGACATTTTTTTAATTTCTCTCGGAATAATTACTAAATAACAATTTATTTAACCATATTCAACTAAAGAGTCAAATAACCATAAAAATAGTTCTGAAAATGTCCATAAAAATAGTTCTGAAAATGCTAATTATAAGAAAAATCATTTATTAACTGTTTTCACCTAAATCAGTCAAAGAACAGGAAAGAAAATTTTTCTCCCCGACAAGGCCCACAGCCAATGAGAATCGAGAGCACGTTTTTCGAAAGTAGGAAATTAAGCTATGTGTGATAAGGATTACGAATTCATATTTTTATTTTCCATTATCGGATGCCTAACACATCTGCGAAAGTATGATAATATTTTAAATGTGTAGTAAACATTATGAAACCACTCAGTTCTTTGCACCTTGGGGCAAACTTTAGCCTCAAAAGCTAAGCTTGGGGAAAACTTAAAAGAAATGCTTGGGGCAAACTTTAGCCTCAAAAGCTAAGATTGGGGGAAACTTAAAAGAAATGCTTGGGGCAAACTTTAGCCTCAAAAGCTAAGATTGGGGGAAACTTAAAAGAAATGCTTGGGGCAAACTCTAGCCTCAAAAGCTAAGATTGGGGAAAACTTAAAAGAAATGCTTGGGGCAAACTTTAGCCTCAAAAGCTAAGCTTGGGGAAAACTTAAAAGAGATGATTGGGGCAAACTTTAGCCTAAAAAGCTTAGCTGTCAATCTTATGAACGGTTGCACAGGGGTTCGAATCCCAGGGTTTACACCACAACATTTTCTTCATTCATTCAACACACAAGGTGTTTCCAGTGCCCTTCATGTCACAATTGGTGACTGGACTGTTAGAATATGAAACTCTCATTCTCGTGTAGATGGTAGCACCACAGAATACAAAATATTCCAGTATTTCCCATCTCTAACGATGTATTGCCCAACTAAATAAACTAATTAAGTCCTATCCCAAAGTTCACTTGAAAAACGCAACTTAACCATCACCTAACTCCAATGCCTAATAGGTCTAATATGACCTACCTCCAGCATTCTGTTAAATATTATTATTACGGTTTTGAAACCATGATGTTTGTAAACTGTTACGAAACCTACAGTTTTGTATTCACGATTTGTAAACGATACCAATTTGTAATTGATTCCAATTGTAAACGATTTCAAACTTATAAAGAGTAAGAAATGTTCCTAACCGTAAACTTTACGGTTAATTGGATGGTCAGACTGCTGCCGGTCATTTTACCGTAATTTTAGAATGGCAGTTTTAACAGTTTGAATAGTGCAGAAAAAATTTCATTCCACATTAAAGTAATTTCTAGCACATAAATTTTGAAGTTTAAATAATTTGATTTACTAAAAATAAATATTAATTCGATACAGCTTAATTTGTATAAAACTTATACTTCTGGATAAATTGAATAAGGTAATAATTGCAATGATGCAATTGGCCCTTTGCAGTCCCTTATGTTATTCATGTAATAATAGGTCAACATATTTTAAACTGAATAGTTTGACTCAATGGTATTAAAATAAAAACGCATTTTCAGACGTAAATGATAAAAAATATCGTGTATACGTAAATTTTCCACATGAATATTATTATTATTTTCAGCTTAGTTCATAATCACATCCAGACTCTGTTACTCCCTTATCTAAAAATTGTGTATTGATAAAATGCTTATTTATTTTGAACATAATAATATAATAACGAGCGTATGTAAATGAGTAAAAATGAGGATTTAAAACAAAATAACTTGCTTTGAGAAACGGAATTTATTTTATTTTTAATTTTGCTTGTATAGGATGCTAATTTGACTACATATAAAAAGATGAATGAGTTTATGAAAAAACATCACGCTGAAGTTATGGTAAAGAGCAATGACGAGGGCATTCGAAAAGTAAAAGAGGGCAACTACGCATATTTGATGGAAGTTACGTCAATTGAATATAAAACTGAAAGAGAATGTAATCTTACTCAAGTTGGAAGTCCCCTGGACTCTAAATCATATGGAATCGCCATAAAGAAAGGTATGTTTTGAGATCTAAGTTTGATGTTTATCATACTTAAAGTTAAGTAATTGTGAACCGATGAACATAGTATTCTTTAAACAACACCTTAGCCATATATTTTCAACTGAATGCCTTTGGGATCTAGACTCTCTCTCACAGCTCCACCTCATTACGTCCTTTTGTTTATCGATCATTAAAAAAATTCGGGAAGGTTAGTAGGTATTTTATTTACGTCGCACTAGAGCGGCACTATGAACTATTGGCGACTGTCTGGGTAACATCCCTGAGGATGATCCGAAGACTTCCCATCGCAATTTTGATCCTCTGCAGAGGATCAAAATTGCGGCTACCAAATCAGGGGAGCCATCCCCTGCTTTGCATCCTATACATGCATCCTATACAAGCATAGCATCCTATACAAGTAGCCCGACGACCTATGAGCGAAGTCGAACACTTTAGGGTAGAACAGTTTAACGAGGACCAATACTGCGCACTCTTGGTCCCTGCGCTGGCTGATCAAAGTGGTCACCATCCCACTTACTGACCGCAACCAGTGATGATGGACTTCGATGTTCTTCTCTGAACCGTGTCTTTATGATCAGTCCACTGTGGGATAAAAAAAATTCGTAGCTATGTTCATAATTTGGAACGACCACGAAAAAAAGCCCCCAAAATAATGAAAACACATATTTTGCATTCAGTGCGTAACCATATCTGCTTGGTCCATATCTTAGTATTTGCTTACTTAGAATTTTCAATTTGCATCTTTCATTTTAAAATTATTCAAATTTCTGAATTAAGAAGGAAATAAATATTGAAAAAGTGAAACTGGGGTTTTAGGGGCCAGTATGTATGTCGCTGGCTTATTGAGAAACTTGCAGGCATTTTTGTTCTGCTTGGCCAAAGTACAAATGTATCAGGTATTTTTTTTTTGCTTGGCCAATTGGAAAAGTCTGCCTCATACTATTTACGCTGATTAAAATCAGTCCATCTGACTTTACCTAATTAATTAATGTGTGAATAGTTACTGAAACATCATTAATATATATATATATATATATATATATATATATATATTTTAGTGTTATTAATAAAATGAATTNAGTCTCTTAAGAATAATATATATGTATATATAGAGATTTTTTTCTTCAGAAAACACCGAGACCATTTGAGGACTCATGTTAAAATTTGGGAATATTTTCCGTCCTCAAAGAGTTTAAAAGTTGAAACAATTAATGAAAATCGAGGTTTATCCTCTAGATTCAAAGGCGTTTGGTCAGCGTACCGATGGTACACTTTACCTCATACGTAGCTGGTCGCGAGCCTACTAGGGACCATTCTCACTGCTTGCGAAAATAAAGCCGAAAAGACGAACAGGATGACTGGAGAATTTTTTTCTGGAAATTGAATTTCCCCATATCAGGTCCTCATTGATCTTAAGCGAATTTTCCGCATGCAGTGAGAAAGGTTCATTGTTATTTAACCTTTTAAACAAACATCAACTAAAGATTTTATTATTTTCGTTTTTATATTTTAGACAGACACAAATTAAGAGATTGGCTCTCGAAAGGGGTTTTGAAGCTTACAGAGGAAGGAAAACTTCACACCTTCAAGGAGCGTTGGTGGAAGCAGAAAAAGGGTGGCGGAAGTTGCGTCGTCAGCAGTTCCGGTTCTGTAACTGAACTTGGTCTGGGAAATGTAGGAGGCGTATTCTTGGTCATGTTAATGGGAATATGTTTATCAGCTTGCATGGGAGTTGTGGAATTTTTATGGTTCCAGAGAAAACTACAAAAAACATCTCAGGTAAATAATGTAAGATATGATAGGGTTATTTAAAATTGTATCACTTAGGTTTAGTAAATAACGAAATAACAGTTCTTAAGTCATTGCACTTTTTGATACATATTAGTGAACTTAATAAAATAATCGAAATATTCAAACACTTACAAATCTGTAAATGTTTAGGAGCAAAAGGGTGAATTATTCCAAAAAACTATTTTTACTTCATAATATGCTAAAAACTTCAATTATGGATTATTCTGCAGCAAATAACAAATAGTGAAGAAATTAAAGAGAAAAAAAGTAATTTTGTTCTATATTTAAAGGATTGTTCTGACTTATTTTTGCCACATAAAAAAGAAAAAGGTTTCACCGGACTTGAGTTCAAACTTCGACAGTTCAATTTATAATCGAAATCATCAATAATAAGATTTATTATTAATCAAATGCTAGCTTCTAGCTCTTCAGTACTTTTTAGCAAAACTGTCAAAGTCTTTTAGTGCAGAGCAACTGTTGAAATGCTCAGTAGTCATGGCTTGTCAGGAGTTACATAAAAGACATCCTGATAAAGTAAGGTGAAATAAATGAGAACGTAGACAATCATGTCCGGTCAAAAGTTTAAACATGGCTACTGCAGTAGCACTGGGTGAATCCGTAACACTGTGAGTTCCCCAGAGCACATTCCAGGACTTATCTGTAGCAGCGTGAGATGTCAAACAATGGAATGATTGTTTGAAGATTCTTTTTATTTCAAGTTCAGCGGAATGGAAGGACAGATCTCTACACGATCTCTGAAGAATATAAGTTCCATTTTTGGTCAAAAAGTCAGCCATTTCGTTCCCTCGAAGACCACAATGGGATGGGACCCATTGAAATGCAACACTTCCCTGAATCCTCTTCAGGAGTTCTCTACAGCTCAAAACAAGGGAACAACTATTTTCTGAGCTGCTTGACAAAGCCTGAATGGCAGAAGTAGAATCTCCGGCAGGGTAAGACGAACAGCAAGTTGTTGAAGAGCAACATGGATGACTTTGAGCTCTCCGTCAAAGTGAGTTGAAAATTACCCAGCATGTAGATAAAAGGAAAAGGTTTCACTAAAAATACCAGCGCCAGCACCCTGCGAGAAATCCAAGAGAGATCCGTCAGTGTAGACGTGAAGCTATTCATAAGAGGGAAAACGGATATTGGTGGTTTCCATGGCAACAGCACGGAGTGCATTAGGGCTTGTGGCACGTTTCCGTACATCCAAAACTAAGTCCAATCTGAGATCGAGAATCATATATTCTAATGGATTTGCTAAAAACAGCAGTTCGTATGGCGCATTTTTGACTACATTATATTGGGTATTCTTACGAACACACTGGATGAAGTCTTTTTGAGTCTTCAAATTACGAGTCTTGCCACAGTCGCATTCTCGCCAAAATGAATTATAAGGAAGTATAATTAGTCTAGTATACAGGATAACTGCATTATTTTTAATTAAATCAGTCAACGGTTGTTTATCACAAAGTAATTGCATGGCAAGTAGGGTAGCAAAGGCGGTAGTTTTAACTCCTCCTGTAATCGTGAGCAATACCTGATTTTGAAAGGTATCAAGGAGTTTTAAGACTCCATCTGAAGCTGAGATCAACACTTCATTGCAATAATTCAAAATCGGTAGAATATATATCTTGTAAGTTGAGTTTAAAGTATCTCTTCCGCAACCCCATTTGACTCCTGCCAGTCTCTTAAGAATAGGGAGTCTCTTCTTTGCCTTTGTTATGACATGCTCAACATGTCTGTTTCATTTAAGTTTACAATCAAAGATGCAGCCCAGATAAGTTGAAACATCGTTATGTTGCAAAGTAGTATCCTTAAAAACAAGGCGGGGAGTGAAAGGTTGCCTATTTAAAGTAAAAAATTGTCTAGAAGTTTTCTTTAAGTTTACAGTTATATTGCTATCCATATACCAATAAACGAGTCTTTCAAGAGTCAAATTTAGGGTGATATTTAATCTGGATTGGTCCTTTTTTGGTGCGCATAACCAAATAACAAGGTCATCTGGAAAAAGGGCTGTATTAGTCAGTCTATCATCATTCAATATGTCAGAGAGGTCATTAATATAGATATTGAATAATGTGGGGCTAATCACTATACCCTGGGGAAAGCCAGTTTCGCATTGTTTGAAGCTAGACATGGAGCTATCGAAATGAGTGGCACAGAAAAGCTGTGAAAGGAAGTTCTTAATCCTGGATAGCATACTGCTGCACACACCCAAGGTCTGCAATTTTTTGATACATTTGAGCCTCCAGACACTATCGAAAGCACCCGCGAAGTCCACGAGAACAGCTAGAATAGAGCTTCTCTGATCAAGAGCATCTTTAATGGACTGACTTAAAAAAGTAACTTGTTGGTTTGTAGATTGACTTTTCCTAAATCCAGCCTGAGTTGGAGTTAGAAGATTATGAGATTCAAGGTACCAGTTTAGACGAGACGTAATCATTTTTTCCGTAACCTTGGATAAAATATTTGTCAGCGAGATAGGGTGATAGCTGCTTGGATCGTCTAAGTAATAAGATAAAAATCATCAATTCTTCTTGTTCTTGCAACTGAAATATGCATGGAAAATGATACAGGATGATTATAAAATAACTTTGCAGTTATGCGTTTAAAAGAATTTAATAAATTTTGGAAATAATCATTATGATCTACAGGGTAACAAAAAAGTATAGGGATCATTTTTGTGGTTATCTACCACTAAAGTTTTAAAACCTAATTACATATATAGCATACTGATATAAAGCTCTGCTATTAGACTTTCAATTGCAATGCTATTTAATAAAATCACAAAAATGCCTTTGAAGAAATTTGACAAAAAGCTAATTGGTCAAGTACAAGCATTTTTAGAACTTCGATGGAGCCACAAAATTATAGAAACCCATTTTAAAAAGAAAGGTATTGCGATTTCACTCAGCCATATCAGTCGCATCAAGAATTCAAAACTTGGATCGATGCAAAATAATGCAAAACCAAAAAGAAGTGGACGGTCAAGCAAATTGAAGAAATCAGATTTGCAGAAGCTTGATAAGATGACATCAAAACCGGATCCTCCAACACAGACAAGCATGGCTAAAGCTCTTAACGGGAGTCAGCAAGTTGTAAGCTATCAACTAAAACAAAAGTTGAAGAAAAAATGCCATAAAAAACCTAAATGTCATCATTTAAGTGAGAGATCGGTGCAGATTAGGAGGCAACGCTTATGGCCTCTCTACAAGCTTCTCTGTAAGGACAGATGGCGAAAGTTCATTACAACTGATGAAGCTTGGATCTATCTATCTGATATCAATGCTAAATCTAAAGTTCAATATCTGAGCCGAGGGCAGAACAGGCGAGACTTGACACCATCAGCCACGGTGTCTCATCCTAAAGGCGCAATGGTTTGGATGGGCATATCCGCCCATGGTGTGACCAAACCTCGGTTTGTGAAACCTGGGGCCAAAATAAATTCTGAGTATTACATACACAAGATACTAAAGCCCTTTCTTAAGGATGATTACTGCAGATTGTACCCTAATGGGGATGCTGTGTTCCATCAGGACTCTGCCCCATCGCATGCATCTAAGGTCACCCAGAAATTCCTAACAGATCAGCAAGTGCAATTCCTGAGACCAGAACAATGGATTCCAAACAGTCCTGATGCTACACCATGCAACTATTTCCTATGGGGACATCTGAAAAACAAACTGAATAAGAGAAGAATTTCTACATTGAGAGACCTTCAAAGAGCTATTAGAGAAGAGGTGAAGAAAATCCCCCAGAAAATCATTTTGCGGGCTTTAAAATCATGGCCGAAGCGTTGTAGACAAATCTACTATGCTGGAGGTCGACATATTGAGAAGCATCGCTGAATTTCTGTAATAAATTTTGGAAATAAAAACATTCAAAAATTATCCCTATATTTTTTTGTTACCCTGTATGCGATCAAGAATGATGTTAAAAAATAATTTCGTCTCACGTTGCCATTATTTGTAACCGCTAACTGAAAGATAGTGTTGTTTAATACCTTTAAAAACATCGAAAAAATTACAAAAATGGCATTTGTTGATCTTAAAATTGCTTGACATATCCGTCATCACATGTGTGACATAACCACAGTTTCTTTTTTGTTTGTAACATGTTTGTACCGTACTCTTTTCTCGTTAGTAGTCCCGAAAATGGGTGACGTTTGACAAAAGCCAAGTGTCGCATTTTTTTCTAAAAAGATCGCTTGCATTTCATTTTAGGAATTTTATTGTAAAGATTGTGTTTCTATAAAAAAAAATCAATCGGCTTTCCTATTTGAAAGTTTTCGAATTTTATCTATGCAATAAAACTGGAATCGTTTTTAACACCATTTTTGAGTGCATAAATCATAATCCCTATTCACTGAGCGATGATAGAGCGTTCGCCTTCCAATGAGGTGACCCGGGTTCCTATCTCAGCGATTGCTGGTCGATACAAATTGGCTTCCACCGACTACAGTGCTGACGTGAAATACCTTCAGTGGTAGACGGATCATGAGTTAGAGTCTCTTTGCCGCCAGGCTAAACGTGGAAGGTTTTCATCGTTTTCTTCTACATGCGGGTTAGTTCCATCAAAATGTCCTCCACAAAGGCGAAATGTCTCCCATTATTTGATTCAGAAGTTCCCTTGTCTCTTGGATTGGGTTCAGAATTACAAGGCTACGGAACATTAGTAGACGTAAATTGTAGCAATTGGGTCAACTGTTCAACGGCGGTTATAAAATAAAATAAAATAAAATACCTATTCACTAAAAATATTTCCCATCACTCTCACTGTTTTCTTTCTTGAGAGTCATACGTTTTAAAACTTATTTGACCTCTTCAAAAGAGAATCTAACAGAAACAGAAAAAAACAGAATTATATTATATATCCAAAAATCTTAAATTTTTTTTTGATGAGTTTAATGATTTAATATTTTCTGTGTTAAAGATTCCTATTTAATTCTTATTTTCTCCTTAATCTTTATTATTATCTTCTCATGTTATCCCTTACGTTATTCTTTTCTACTATGTTAACGATTTCCGATTCTAAATTTTCTATTGAATTTGAAAGCAAAAATTTCTTTTTTCTCCCCCCTTTTTAATATTCAGGAAAATAAAAACTGAATTGCAATATTTTGTTTGAGGGTATCATTATAATTTAACTTTCAAAGCAAGAACTTTTTGAATTAAAATTTGTCTTGCATAATTTTGCAGGAGTCTGTGTTTAAACTTTTGATGAAAGAAATCAAGTATGCTGTGACCTGTGGCAGTTCATCTAAAGCTGCTCCAAAATTAAAGAAGAAAAACAGCAAGGAAACAGAAGAAGAAGTTACAAAGACATTACCTGGTTATAACTCATTTTATTGATCATCCAAATAAATAAATTCCCTTTTATTGTTTTATATGAGATTTTTTAACACTTTTTTCCTAATGGATTGCTTATATGACTGAGTAGTGTAGACATTTTTTCACAAAATAATAAAAACCACACCCTTTTTATATTGTGTTATTTCTTTTTAGTTGTGATTTAAAGATTATTTTCACGGCTTTAATTATTGAGATACTTAGTTCCAAATTTTAAAGTGTTTTGATCAAGTTTCAAATTTTCTTTAAATATTGCAATGTGTTCCTTTACTCCAGTGTTTCCCAAACTTATGACTTTTGTGTACCCCTTCGAAGTATTTCGTAACGCTGTGTACCACTAATAAAAAAATTAATGCATTTTTTTAAAAATATGTTTATTTTTATTTTTTGGTATAAAGTTTTGCTAATAAGTTTATTTGCATCAGTGAGAAGGATGATATTGTTTTTGCTCTGATAACAGTTCATCATATTTTGGTTCTCTTGTGGTCAATTTTAGTCTGAGAACTATTTCTTTATCAATAATCTACCATTACCAATAATCTATTTCATTTTTGCGAATTAATATCCACGAATACTGAAGAAGCGACTTCACTTAAATATGAAGTTGGAAAAGGCAAAATATATTTCACAACTTTTTCTGCTGAAACTGGATGCATATTTTGCATTTGCAGTCAGAATGACGTTAAAGTACACTCATCATGTTTATTTTTCAAGAAGGATCAAAATTATATTTTATAAAAATAATCAAACTGAGTAGAATTTATTACAAACTTTTACTATACAAAAATTGCACAAAAGTTAAATTCACAATGGTTGTTGATACTACTAATTATTAACTGTTAACTCTGCAAGAAATTGCCAATAGAAAAATACATAATCACAAATTTTCATGGATAGCTTTACTTTTAAATAAAATTCTTTGAAATTTTCGTTTGTTGCAAGATATTTCGTATAAGAACGCGTACCCCCGCTGAACTGTTCCCGTACCCCTGGGGGTACGCGTACCACACTTTGGGAAACACTGCTTTACTCCAATGAAGATAGAATACATTGTGCTGCTATAGTGCGGCTTTCAGGAGAACTCCTCCAGACTCCCGTCTCGCGTCGTGGCGGGTACTATGGTTACGAGGAAAGGTCACTTCGAATAGGGGTGTAGGGTGAATAGTTTTGTCTTAATCTTAGCACAGGCTGTCGTGAGTAAACCAATCGACACCTTCTTTCTTCCATTTCACCCCCATTAGAAACGTGCCCCCGCTTGTTACAATAGCAGCAGACAGCCCCAGACTTTCACTCTGGAGGAGTTCTGCTCAAAGCCCCACTATACATAAAGAGCGTGAAAAAAGATAAATAATGGTAGAAAAGCAGTCATCCTGTGAAGAAGAATCCTCCTCAGTGTCGAAATGCAGAATAGATTGCGGAACTCGGCAGTGAGCATAGCTTGTGTTTATTAGTTAGTATAGTGTTTATCGGTTCGGTTTATAGTATGCCCTATTTGTTGAAATTAGTCGTGGCAATAACGATGGAATAAAAAAATTAACATTCAATAAGAATTATTAACTGATTCGAGAATTATTAACTGACAATTTGTTGAAAAAATACAATATGAATAGCTCTACTGACGCCAGAAATGCAAAGGCAGAATTGCAATTTGGCATGCAGGAAGATATACATTTGTTTATAAACCTAACACAGAATTTATGTTCCGAAGTTCTAATTTATTTGTGAATTATTGCAATTTTATTGATTTTAAAATTTAAAAAAAATTCCTCATTTTTTTCGTTTTATGTTACATTTTGCTTTACTGCTTAAAATCTATAAGACTTAGAAACTTGAAATTATTATGATTTGAAGAAAATATACAAAAAATGCGATGAAATAAAACAATTTACAATTCATTGGTTAGTTCAGGAATTATTAACTGTTAAACTTGAAGTAAACAAAATCCATGTTGGCAGATCGACTGTTCGCTGAAATGCAACTAATGAGTTGAAATTTGATATTCTTATGGGGCCATTCTGTATCATAATTTTTACAAGAGTTTTATTATTTTTTTTCTTCTGAAATTCCCATTTGCTTGCAAATTATTGCAAATTTAAGTGGGTTTTTTTTTGCTTTAAAACTTTAAATGTTGACTATTCATCCATTGTTGTAAAAAAAATTATTTTTCCCTCACGAGTTCTTCATTTCATTGTTTTTATAAAACAATGAAATAAAGATCTCGTGAGGGGAAAATAAATTTTTGAGTAGATGTCAATCAAAAGTAGCGAGGGAGAGAGAGAAAGGGAACGATTACATATTGCCAGATATAAATTTTAACATTCATAGGAAAATTTTTGAGAGAAAAAAAACGGAGTGAATGGCAATAGAATCCGTTCCCTATTTGAATTGTTATGTCCCTTCAACGAATAAAATAACTTCTCATTTATTTCTTCTTATTATATCTCACAATCTGTATTTTTTACGTCAGTTTTTTTTTCAAGTACCGAGGATTATTTTGCAAATGTAGGTAATCATCTATTTCATTACGATTAACATTAGGCTAAAATAATAATATATTTTGAATCCAATATGTTTTGTATTTTTTGAAAACTATTGACGTTTAAGAAAAAATAAACAACAAGAAATAGGGATCAATTTCTGGGGTAGGAGATTGGAGCGAGCAGAAGGTGGAGCCTCTTAGTTATATAAAACATGATAAATTTTTATTTTTAGCATTTTTTTGCTTATTGTTGAATATTTTTATTGTATATTTCTTCACATTTTAACTTCAAAAGAAATCAACTAGAATCAAGGAGTTTTATATACTATAAAACTATCTGAATGGCTTCTTGAATCTAATTTCTTAAAATTTAAAAATTCCAATTAATTAAGGTATATCTAGTTATATTTTCACACAAACAATCGTTTTGTGAAAATATACAAAAGGAAAAAAAAATGTCTTAACTCTTTTCACACCGAGTACTTTAAAATGCTGTTAGAATTAATACAAACACTATATTATTTAAAGTAGACAATACAGTATTTTTATAAATTTTTTAAAATTCTCAAAAATGTGGTTAATAATAATTAGTAAGTATCCGAACTTTTTAAATTTAGAGTGGTGACTTTTGATGACACCTCATAGACAACATCGGAGTGTAAGGGTTTGAAATATTAATTATATGATAAAATTGTACCAAATAAAGTTCGAAATATTAGATGCTGGGACTTAAGTGTATAGTTGAAAGTTTTAGAATGTCAACTATATGGTTCAGCGTTAAATCGAGTGGAAAAATAATGCTAAATTCATATTAATAGTCTGTAGATTTCTTACTTTTTAAAAAAGAATTGCTCATTATTTTTGTAAATGTTAAGCAAATGCTTCTCTAAAGTTCGTAAAGAGTACAATATTCCAATAAATTTTGTAATCCTTAAAATGTCATTTTTATTTGCCAGAAAGTTTTACAATACTGTTTCTTAATTAAAAAAGAAGATCAAGATTTCCTTGGTTTTAATCAGTACAAAACTGTTAAAAGTTGTAAAGGTATTTTATTACCAATAAAATATTTCTTTATCCTTTTTTTAAACTGCATTTTAACTGTAATATTTAAACTGTAAATAATTATTTACTATTCCTTTTGTTTATTTTCCATTTTTGTTGATTATTATTCCAAACTAAAGACTTAAATCTTAAAGCGGCATCCCTCTATTATAAAGAAATTCTATGATATTATCTTATTATGCAACATTGTATGATAAACGCCTTTAAAAAGGTAAAAACATTTTAACAGTTATTTAACAGTAAATAAATTTTGTATATTTTCTTCATAAGTTTAATGCAAATTTTGCAATCAATTGTGATAATATTAGGATTGCAACTGAATATGAAAATATAGGATTGGAACTGAATATACAATGCATTGCATATTAAACTATATGTAATGTTCTGGCCAATTAAAAATAGTTCATAATCTTATGTTGTTATTATTCTTGCTGAAAGAAGAGGCAACAAACAAATACAAGTTATATTGATAAGAATAATAGTTACAAGTATTTAATCAGTAAAAAACATGCATTTTTTTAGCATGCATTACATGTAAATAAACATTATTTTATTGTAAGAAAGCTAAAAAAATTCGCTGGTGAAACTAAATATTAGCCACGTAGCTTATGTTAGTTTCCGACATATTGTCTGTCACCTTTTTTCCTCCACTTCTTAGCTCTTCACATAGTCCTTGTTTTTTCTCTTAAAAATGCAGTCTAAATATTTTATTGATACTATAAAAACTTTGAAAACTGGGGTAACTTCATCATAGTTTGACACAGTTATGACTTTGTTTTTTCTACAATTGTCTTGTCGCAGAACATATATGACTAATGACTTTAATTTTTTCTGTATTATGCATTACATAAGTTAGCGAGGTGTTTTTGAGCTATTGAGTATACTTTCTTGAAGAAAATTTTTTCCGCACTATTTTAAACTTTAATACAAGCTATTTGATTTATCAATTTCAGTTTCAGCAATTTTCAGAACTAGAAATTACGGCCTCACATCGCTACACTTTTTTTAGTTTTATAATACGAATATTCATGGTAGCTTCGGTTCTCACTCTGCCTATAAATAAATGTTTTATTTATCGCGAAAATGTTCAAAACGAAGAAGTTTCCTAGGACCAAGAAGGAATTTAGGTAGGGAGCATATATCTGTATTGGAAAACTATTTAGTAAAAGTGTTCGATATATATTATTTTTAATTATAAGAAGTTGTTAATTTTAAAGATAAAATGCTTGAATTGGAAAATGATGTAAAGTGGCTGCTGATCGTAGCTTTATCAGTGATTAAAAGTAAGCTTTACGAACCAAGTTACACACTAAAACGTCAACAAAAACCCTAAGTTTACATTGAAAATTGGCGAACAATTGATTGAGGTATATTTGTTTTTAAAGTCCCTGCAGCGAAACTACTTTTCCAGGAACTCTTACGCATGATTTCAAAATTAAGGTATTTAAGCTGAAAAAACATAATTAAATAGCAGTGATCAAGATAATTAATCAGTAATTTGAAACCAGATATTAATTCTTAATACAATTTCTAGCCCTTGATTACTGCTTTAATACTATTGTTATCAACAATCTCTGTCCGTTTGATAAATTCC